ACTTCTTTTAAAGTATCTAATGTATAACTATGTCACCTGATTTTGTCACCCTAGCTGCACCTGATCGCTCTCAACTCACCCCAGCATGGCGACATGCAGGGTATCAGAGGTATAGATCACAAGTGCTTGCTACAGGCTCAAGCCATTGGGCTCAAAGGAACATTCAGGGCTTTCCTGTCATCCCGGTTACAGGATCTATACAGCATTGTTCGACAGAATGACAGGGAACTGTTACCCATAGTCAATCTTCAAGTAAGATCCTTCCTTTTTTACAGATTATACTGTAGTCTGTTTAATACAGTCTTTTACAGAGCTGTTTAAAATGTTCACAGGATGAGGAATTATTCAGCAACTGGGAATCCATCTTTAGCGGCTCAGAGGGCAAGATGAATGATAATGCGCACATCTATTCATTTGATTGTCGAGATGTTCTTGATGATGATGCCTGGTAAGTGGAGACTGAACTGATTAGACTGACTAACCCATTTTTTTTTTCTCCATAACCACTTTAATAGGCCAGAGAAGATGGTATGGCATGAATCAAGCACTCATGGAAGCAGGCAGACAGACAGCTACTGTGAAAAATGGCGAACAGGTAGTCATGTCGTCACTGGCATGGCTTCCTCGCTCCAAGAAGGCTACCTAATTCAGTAGTTGCCACGTGGCTGTACCAGCTCTTTTATTGTACTGTGCATTGAGAACAGCTATACTGCCGAGTGAACCAAAACGTCTGCTAAACCAAAATTGTCCTTGAGTCACACCACAAACTGAAACTTAAAGGTCCCCTGAAATGCTTAGAAACACACAGCGTTACAAACTGCAAGCTTTGAATGCTTATATCTTCTAAATGCGAATTTTGTTACTGTTTTGGAGCACACTGCCTTATAGATAACCTTAAGACTAACATATTGATACTAACACCCAAAAAACTTTTATTTTGATTTCATGGGGACTTTAAGTGTTTTGTGATTGATGGTGATACTGTATATGTTCATTTACATTTATTTTAGATTTAAATTTTGACTTTATTTTTTATGGATTAACTGCTGTGTGACAGCCATCTCTTTCAAACAAAGATATGCTTTGCTCCTTACACCATAAAAACTTGTCTTAGCAGAAAACATTCACTGAAATACTTGAGCATTTAAAAATAAATAAATAAAAATAGATTAAGGCTAAATTCAGGGGGAAAATCACTGTTTTGTTTTTATTTAATTTTTTTAACAAAAATGTACATATTGTATTTTTACACATAACGGGTTAGTATCGGACACCCTCAGGCAAAAACATCATTTTTAAAATACAGCTTATTTTAAAATGGACATTTGCAAGTGTCTTCACAATATATTGCCAAAGAAAAGGGCTACATTCCAAATTTTAATAACATTCTCTTTAAACCACTTTGTTGTCATAACCATTTTCATTCACATTTGTATTTGATTTTATGTACACTTATCTATGTAACCTTTCTAAATTTTTATAATTTGCAACTCAATCAAATCAAACATTCCATGATGTAGTGCAAAATGACTGGTTGACTTTAAAGAAAGATGACGACTATTAATAAAAATATGTAAATCATTGTTTTTTTTATTATTTGTTTTGGTTTGGTTTTTTACACATAACCTGAATACGATTTTAAAGAGTTGCAGTTCTCTGTATTTTACAGCCTGCTGTATTCTACAGTTCAAATGTGACCGCTAAAAATTAGCGACATTATTACCTTTATTTTCACTGTATTTTGAATGGCACTTAGATTAATAAACAAAAATTCTGTAATATTTATTTGGAAAATAAAAAAGTCAATTACTTGATACTGGTCTTACCTACCTCAAATGTTTGAATGTTAGTGTATATATAACAATATTCCTAGTTACTCTCTATTTTGCTCCACCAATGTAAAGTCAAAGCAAGATCAATCATTGTGTCTCAGCAACAGGTTTTGTTTCTGGATGAATTAGTTTTTTTAGGAGTGAATGATTCAATGACTCACTTATAATACACAAAAAGAAATTTGTTGTAACCTGGAATGATGTTTCCATCTGCAAACACAGACAAGCATAACTGTATGGCGTACCTTGTCAGTGTCGTAAATGACTAAAAGTAAAGTAAAAAAAGTATAACAAACAGTGATATAAATAGAGAAACCTCACAGTGCTGCTGGACTTTCTACCAGCAATCTTGTATAAATAGTAAATAAAGTGAGTCAAAGAGATTTAAGATAGAACTTGCAGCAGTCTACATAAACAGGCTTTGGTTAAAATCCAGAAAATTTGATTGTATCAGATTAATTTTATCATTGCTACAATGGCCATTTTTGGGGCTCAAACTCTCAATTTAAGTCTAGACTCCTCACTTCAGCCTGGCATACACTTACTTTATCTCTCAACCATTATGAGAGAGAAAATAGTTATGCTGTGTTAGACAGGTCTGCAACAATCACCAACCAATCAACCAATCACCTTCAGTGCCAGCATTTCATTTACAACTACCTGCATCCCTCTAGTGTTAGCTTTGTCAGCCATTTTTTATTTAGTCTTAGTCTTTTATTAAATTAGTCTTGGTGTCAAATGTACTTTTTAGTCATATTTAGTCAACCTTGTCCTTTGTTTAGTCACGTTTTAGTCAACTAAATATCTGAGCATTTTAATACAGTTTTAGTCAATGAAACTTTTTGCCACATTTTCGTTGTGCTAGTTAAAACTGATAAAAAAATATATATTTTTTGCTCAAAATTATAATTCGAAAAGTTTTTGTTATTTTTACATTTCTGGTATTGCACTTTCACCAATAAGCACAAATCAATAGAATGTGGACTCATACAAGTTTACCTCATCTAGTGTACCGATTTATTTTAGGCTATTTAAAATTAATATTAAAAAATTTGATATGCACTATGTCTACATTATGAAAACTGGCAAAAACATATTTTAACGGTGAAATTCTTAATAGTAATTCCAATAATTCTAAATTGCAATAATGTTTCTCTATTAAAACAACAGCGGCTGAGTAAGTGCATTCATTCAGCAACCACAATCACAAACAAAATATTCAATATCTCATTACAGAACACAGACTGGCTGAATGACAATTTAATTTAAGATGAACATCTCACATGGAGATCGCTAAACTTCAGATTAAGCCAAATTCACACTACAGGATTTTAAGCCTGATTTAAGCCCGATTTGCAAGGCAATGAGCTTGGGCTGGGACAAGTCTGGCTGTGATCGGGGGAAAATCGGTGGGTGATCAGCACTTGGCAATCTTTATGTGTGAACTACCCAGTGACGTATCAAAGAGATTCGCTGACGCGTCCCCGACGCCAAACAAATATCTAGCATGTTAAATATAGCCAAGTTCACACTACACGACTTTAAAAGTCGACAGATTGCTGTGCTGTTCAGACTACATGACTTCCTGATGTCCATTTTCAATGAAACAACTCCGGTTTCACCTGTTGCTTCGCGTCATTCCCGTTCTACTTCTCACGTGTTTTTGTGACCAAATGTGGTTTGGGGACCGGATAGAGTCATTGGGTGACAGAGTTGTTGTCAGCTCGTGTAGTGTGTCACCCCCTGTTGCGGATCATTTACGTGGTGTGAACACAACAACTTCAAGACAGACAGCAAGTCATGTAGTCTGAACAGCAAAGTGATCTGCCGACGTTTAAAGTCGTGTAATGTGAACTTGGCTTTAGACAGCCCCTTTAAGTCTGTTTTTCCCATTCATTACATTTTTTTTTCTTTGCCACAGTCACCTTTGTCTTGCTCACCGGGTACTGTAGGATAGGATATTAAGGCATATTTTGAGATGGTCCTCACTGCAGAACACAAGACCCAGGGGGCGGATCCAGATCCAACTCCTCACACCTTACATATACCTAAACCTACCCGTCTCCACCCCGATACCTAAACCCACCCATCTCCACCCCCTAGATGTGGATCCAACCCCGCCCCCTGGATCTTTGTTCTGCAGTGAGGGGCTACTACATATTTTCCTGTAATGCTGGTTTGAAACAATAGGAATTTTACAAAATGCCATGCAAATGAAAAATTACTTTAACACTTAATTTGTAACAATTTATTTGTAATTAAACATGGTCTGGAGCTCCTAATGTCATCACACTATGAAATATTAAAAAACATAACAGTAGTACTTATTTCCAAAATACAGTAGAACTAAGCAAGTGTCTTGTGTACAATCTTGTTTGTGTGATATTTTTTTTATACAGGTTCTAAAAAGTTAATATTGAGTAACTTACATTTCCACCAAAACATGGTCAATTACATATTTTTTCAACAATGGCAAATATTTCTAAAAGTGCTAAAGCATCAAACTTTGTGTGTCACCAAGCAATGCACAGACTTAAGTGTTTATGGAGCAATCCCTGTTCGTAACATTCAGTTATCATTCCATGTTACCAACACTGCAATTTCCTACTCCTGCTTACAGGTGAGCAGAACCCCCCACTCTGAGCAATCCTGGAGTGAAAGAAAACACTGACAAAAATGGTCCTCACTCCATGCAAAAATCCCACAACCCTACCCAGTTTTCACTGAACAGCAATCAGATATTCTAAGGGCATTTAATAAATATCAGCATTCCTGGATAACCACTTGGCAAATCAATTTAGAGAACTGGAACTAACGGTTGTACAGTAGTAATTGTTTACATTTTAATAATTATCTGCAAATAATACTTCTGGAATCACGGTACAGTGAAGTCAAAAAGTAATCCTATCAGATACTAGAAAGCCAAACTTGCCATGTTTGGCTTCCAAACATTCCTTACAAAAATTATTTTACATTATCTTTGTTCACACTAACAAAGACAACCAAGGAAAATAAACGAAATCAAGGATCTGACAAAATCTCGATCCAAGACTACATTTTCCATTGGCATTCCATCCTACTGACAACCTCAACCATTATATTTACCTTCCACAAAATGTATAATTAGAATTTGATGAGATTTTTTTTTTTAAATCTAGCGCTATTCCTAACGAGGACAAACATAAAAATAATAAAACAAAAGCTACTCATACTTAAAATAATAAAATGTTCTGATTTTAAAGTAACAGATTAAACAAACGGAGAAACTCCACCAGAAGGCACAATTCCTTTGAACCTCATGTCTTGATGCTGGTTCCATTTGCCGTTGTGCCATCACTAGCAGCTGCTGTCATAGGACTAAGTTCAGTGGCTATGGCTACTTCTGTAGTCTCCTTCTCTGCTCTTTGATTGCGGTAATGACATGTGATGATAAAGGCACTACAGCCCAGATAAATCACAGTCAGCAGAGTGAAGTATAAGAAGTAAACAGAAAACTGCAAGAAAGAGAGAAACAAAATCAGGCCAAAATCTTTCTACTTTCTTTCCTGAATTATAATGTTACTGTAATCTCTTCTTCTTCTGTTAACAAGCTGGTGATATCCACAGCCAATAGTGTAACTATTAACAGAAGTCAATCTAGAATTTTACACACCTGAGAGTGAACATTCAAAGCCAATCCCCTCTTATCTACCACAATGATAGTGATGATCGTTTTCAGGACTGTTCCAAGAAAAGTGTTTACTCCAAACACTAAAGCACACAGTTCTTTAGTGAGAGAGGAGGCAATCTGGAAACTGAGAAGAAAAATACAAAATGAGTTAAAAGAACAAAATGCAGAGCACAGATATCTGGATTATTATTTTTTTTTAAGTTTATTTTAATTAAATGGTTTAATTTCCTGTGTTATTTAATTTTAGTTAAAAGCTCCTCATGTGGCAAACTACAACAAACTTGAACTTCAAAGCAAAATTCTTGCTCTCCATGAAATAAGAATGTTTTCACAGGTGCATACATATCTACTTTTAAAACAGTGACTTTGAAACATTGAATGCAATGTGTGCCAGCGTTTTTAATGTCATTTATTTAACAAAGACAACACATTCAAAAAAAAAGTCCTTTAAATAATAATACAAATAAAAAAATTGTTTTCTACAACTCACATAGCAATTGGCACCAGGAATTGGTAGAAGCCTCTGAACAGGGCATATGCCACATAGCAAACCCAGATATTATCTGTGATGCCCATGAGAAGCAGTAGACCGGCCTGTGCCGCAGTGATCAATCCAATCACCAGCTCAGACCAAAGATTCCATCGAATTTTCACATATCCTGCTGCAAATGACGTGATTGCACCTATGGAGCACGAAAAGTGTGATTGTCATGTAATATTCATCCAATGCCAATGAAAAAAACATCTATTCTCACAAAGTTCAGATCTGTGCATAAAATATTTTCTACTTTTGTGTCATTTACACCAAGGTTCTTCATTCCTACTCCTGAAGAGCCACTTCCCCGCAAAGTTTAGCTCTAACTCTGATTAAATGCACCTAAATCAACATAAAGGTCATAAAGGTCTTTGGGTTTACTTGGAAGAAACTCTGCAGGAAAGTGGCTTTCCTGGACCAGGAATAAGGAGTTAAGCTTTACAAGCATGCGTCATGCCAAAGCTCAAATGTTGAGGAACATGAACTCTGCTTGTTCTCACCAAATAGTAAACCAGCATGTATAATGTTACCTATTAAATCCTAGTTTAAAAAAAAAACACAACTGTTAGTCACAATGACCTGTCATATACACTGAGAATCCTGATAGTGAAATTGAAACTCTGGCCAGTACAGATAAACAGATAATTATTTTCATGTTTCAAAAAACTAAAATCTAATACTATATAACCAATTTGTCTGCTAAAGTGAATTAGACATCACAACATGTTAATGTACAGAATGTATGAGTATCCACTATAGAAAATTGTAATAATAAATATCGCTGCAAGCAGCAATCAAGGGGCCAAGCACTATAGAAGCAAGCATCAGACCAACTGCAGAAATGAGTAGGCCTAGTTGAAGCCATTTTAAGATGATTTTAGTCAAAATGGCTGAAAAAACAAATACAACCACAAGTAATATGATTTAATGGCTTATCAATTTGACCAATAGGTGGCGCTGTTATCAAATTGATGTGGTGTGTTCTGTGTGAGTTGACAATGGCTCACGCAAAGTTTGGTGTCAATATGTCAAAGCTTTGCAGAGATACAGCCTCAGACGTAGTTCGGCATCATGCCTCAAATTTGTTGCGGTGCTATGCAAAAACGGTTTTGTCTATCAACACGAAATCCATAACTTTTTTGTCAGCAGTCTGAAGATAATCTGACTCGATTTTAGTGAAAATCGGACCAACGGTCTAAGACGAGTTTGAAAAAGTAGGTTTTTCGAACTATAAAAAAAAAAAGTGAAAAAAAAACTAGACCTTACAGGAACATAATGTGGCCGTTTAATCTATAGCTTTTATAATCTATAGCCGTTTAATCTGTAGCCCTAAAGCTGTCAAATGTCCACCAATAACACATTTTGTTTTATCTATGTGGATTTTTGCTGACAAATAAACTGGGATATTCAGGTGCATGTGACCTGGAGAAAGAGTACTCAGTCCTGACATTTTAACAATACAAAGCTGGCTGAAAATTGGCAAAAATACAAAGATAATCTACAGAGTGAATTTTCATTTAATGCCAGTTTTTAATCTTTCTGCAATAATTTACTGCTATCCTTATAAATTAGTTAGATGATGATTTTGATTATTTAGAAATCTAAGTGGCCTGGAGGTTGATATTGTATATCGATAATCATGACAATTGCTAAATCAGTCTTTAAGTAAGTGACGTCCACTCTGAAATGAATGAACAGTTGGTTGGCAAGAAAGCATGCCCCTTCTATGTTCTTTTTCCAACATTTGCTCATTTATTAGCTTAAGAAATCAGTGGATGTTACTTAAAGTCTGATTTTGTGGCTGAGATTATCAGTATTTATTGTTATATATATGGTGACTACAACACACTATAATCCATCTTACCTAATAATGTAGAGGCAGATTCAACTGCTCCATTGTAGACATGTATTTTCTCTGTGGCAGGGTAGACTTCATTCCACAGGATGTGCACATAAAATACAACTAAATAGTAACCAGTGGAGTTGAACACCCACCACAAGCTCCAAAGCCTTAAACTAGGTACTTTCACAACATTCTTTAACTCCTTCAACATCTGAATAAACACTGAATTTGTCCAGGAAGATGATTTGTGGTTACTGCCTTGTGCAGCCATACTGCCATCCTTCTCTTCAGGCTTCATTCTGGCCAATTCCGATTGAGCTGCTTCCTTCCTTTCCTCATCCAGACGGGCTTGGTTGAAAAACAAGCTACGCTTGGGCCATGGCAGGCAGAAGGACAAGAGCAGCCCAAAAGTGACAAGCCCCAGAGAGACTGCACTTAACGTCCTGTATGATATGCCCCCTAGTGACACACATATCTGACCCAGCACAGAGCTTGTGAAGACTCCCATGAGCACAGATGAGCGGGAGTAGCTGGCTACACGCTGATAAACAGTCGCTGGTACTAGCGAGAAAATGTACGAGGAGTACGCCACACGGGCAGCCATGGTAAGGCCATAAAAGAACTCCATAAACTGCATCTCCAGTAATGAGGTTCCCAAAAGCAACAAGAGCCAAATGGAAACATGACTCAAACTCTGAAGGACCAGCACAGGTTTGTAGCGTAGGTAATCTGTCAGCAGAAACACAGGCACCAGAACGGACATATAGGAATATGAGAGGACCGGGATGATTTCATTGGTAACCTGTAAAAAAAATAATAATAATAATAAATAAATAAAAATCACAGAAAGCCATTATTACATCTGATATGGGGTAGACAAAGAGCACTATAGCAGGGATAACTGTAACGCTTAAAAAATGTAACATCAGTAACATAATAGAATGCACTTACCTCCACACTAGGAATGCACAGTGTGAAATGCAGATTATAAATAATACCAAGATTTAATTGTTAATCCCAGGTAAAGTATGAGCATTGTGAAACAAGCTAACCCAGGACTCTGTTTACCAGGGTTTAAAATGACCCAGCGTTAACTTATTCAAGTATGAAAAGCCCTAACATACTGTCAACTGAAATGAGCGTAGTGCACATGGAGAATACATGGCATCCCAGGTTATATTTTATATAAATGTTAATATTAAAACGTGGACAAGAGACTAATGTTAAACTACATTTCTTGCCCATTTAAAAGTGAATATTTGGAGTTTGAAATATATTGAAATGTGTTTTTCTTATGTCATTGTTAATGGCCCATCATTCATAATCTGAGGACATGTTTAGTGTTTGAGAATGTTTTGTACTGGATAACATTATTACATCAACATAAAACTAGACGAGTAAAGTTCGCAAACAAACTTCGAAGTTGGCTTGAAAAAGCCTTTTGTGAAAGTTTGAAGCAGTTGTAATAGCTTGAAGTTTGGAAGTTTAGATAGATTAGATAGATGTAGATAGCATGTAATTAGCATGATTTAGCTAACTTAACTTGTTAGCAGCATGTTTTTAACATGATTAGCATGTTGCTAGTATGTTTCTTGCATGATTATCATGTTGCTAACATGATTATCATGTTGCTAGCATGTTTTAACATGATTACCATGTATGTTGTTAGTATGATTAGCAAGTTACTAGCATGTTTCTAGCATGATTAGCATGTTACTAACATGTTGATACCATGAAACCAGCTAAACCCAGCTTATTTAGCAAAAAGAAAAAAAAAGTTAAAACCAGCTAAAAATGGCTAAAACCAGCTGAATCGGTAAAAAACAGCTAAAAAAAATAGCTAGTTGTCTAGTCTTAGCTGGTTTAAGCTCGATTGGTCTTTTAGCAGGTCTCCCAACTTGACCAGCTAAGACCACCCTGACCAGATAAAACCACTTTAAAACCAGCCTGGGAGACCAGCCAAAGCAGCCAACCAGCTTAGGCTGGTTTTAGTTGTTTTGGGGTTTTTTTTTTCAGTAGGGAGTTGTTAAGTTTTGCTATAGCAATAGACAGCTTAAATACACCATAAGTCTCATTGTATAAAGGTTTTCAACCCCTCAATGAAAGTTTATTTTATAAAATGAGGAATCATGATTTTGAATAGAAATATTACCAAACATTAGAATTAGACACTTTGACAATATGCTAATGATAACAGATAATGATGTGACGCGCTCTGTGAAGGACCATAAGGTGCCATTCACACAAAATGTGCTTATATATATATATATATAGGGCTCCAAACAAAAAGATCGAGGTAAGGAGCCATTGGCTCCTATAAGAACAATTTTAGGCGTCTAAAATAAATAATAATTATTATTTTTTTTAGGTGCCACAGAATAAACGTGTTTTATTATTTTTTTTTAATCATACTTTATTTTTTAACATTTCAATCATACTTTCATGTGTTTATGTCTCATCTTTTCTTGAATTTATCAGCATGTTAATCGATCTTGTAGATGACCTGGTAACTAAGGTTCACTTAAAGTGGGAACTAAACGTTTTTTCCAACTTGAAATATATAGCCACAAAGAATTGTTCATGACACAGAATCTGTACAAATATGCCCTCAATGAAAGTTTATTTTATAAAATGAGGAATCATGATTTTGAATAGAAATATTACCAAACATTAGAATTAGACACTTTGACAATATGCTAATGATAACAGATAATGATGTGACGCGCTCTGTGAAGGACCATAAGGTGCCATTCACACAAAATGTGCTTTTGTGTTGACTAAAGATGCGATGCAGGCAGTGGAATAGGAAAAAAAATGCAAGAAGATGGGAGTTGAGTTGAAGTTCTTTTAACTTGAGCATAATTGAGTTTTTAGAATGCCATTTCATGCATGAGACGCTGCAAGAGACGCGAGCACAACAATCAAATGTGTCCATGTTTTCATAGAAAAACAATGGAAAAGCAGCACAATCTAATAAAAAAAAAAACTGTAAAGAACTATTACTGTATGTATATTTCATGTTTGCATCATGGTGACAGGCTGAAAGCTGCGGTTCATTGTTTTTATAGAACATTTATAGTTGTTAATAGTCTACAGTACTGGTGTTATACCTTCAGTCATTTAGAATTACCTTGACTTTTGAGATGTTTTTAAAAAGCATTTTCCTTGTATTATTTCTGAAAATCATGGACCATAAGCATCACTTGGCCACTGAGTGTAGTTTGGGCTCCTCCTCAGTGCATCCTATAAGTGTTGTCTAGGCATGGGACGATAACCGGTTTCACGGTATACCGCGCGCGGTTTGGAAAAGTCACGGTTTCAAAATCACTCAAATTTTCCATTATACCGTTCCAGCGGTATGCGCAGTTTTTGTTTACTGTTCCAAAATGTTCTATACGTTTCTTAAAAATAAAATATTCAGTGGGAAAAAAAAGTTGTTTTTTTAACCCAGACATTTAAAAATAACATATTTTAGAGCTGTAATCGCAATACCGTGATATCGTGAAACTGTGATATTTTTATCTAAGGTTATCATACCGTCAGAATCTCATACCGGCCCATGCTTAGTGTTGTCATATGTCTTTCACACATTCAGTCTGTTTTCTTCATTAGTAAAATACAACTTTGTAGGAGCTGAATCATGTAGACAACAGGTTAAGTAAAAATATTAACATCCAATAACGTATAAATATAGCAAAATGCTCTTCTTTAGTTCTTTTTCTAGCCGACTGATGAGCTTATGGACACCTAATGTTTTTTCTGAGGTAAAAGTATTATTACGTTGCAATGTTTACAAGCTTTACATGTTTACCGCAGTTTGAAACACTGAATGAGCTTTTGCATGATACATTTCAGTAAGTTGTACTGTAGGCTTTATTATAAAATAGGTTAAGTGTTGATGTTAATTCATGTTCATTATGTACTTAGTAGTAAAGAGAAAGATATAATGGGTTCACTTGTCGCTTGAACTGAGGCGCTAAAGCAATCGCGCCTGTCACATTAAAGAGCGCCAAATCTGTATTGTTTGAATTTCGTTATGAATTTGACCATTTTAAAGCTTATACTTTGTTTATTAAAAAGTAACAAAGCTTTTTGCGATTAATGGACGGCAAGTGTGCTTCAAATAATATGAAGTTCACACATTAACAGAACACAGCATATAGACTAAGATCTTGATAAGATATTAGTAATGATTATAAACGAGAATTGATAAAGATATTGCCAATATCCACACAGCTGACAGCTTTACCTGTTGTAGCTTGTTCAAGTTGTGCATGAAATAGACTCTGCATTTGTGCACTTTTACTTGCACGTCTCCGTCATGTTGATAACACTGCCCTTTGTACTTCCAGTTTAATTGTAATTGACTCAATTAAGTTATAAATTTAATTGACATGAGTAATGACTGTTACTATATCAAAGACATATGACACCAATTTAAAAGTATCAGGCTAAATAGATTGCCTGAATAAACAAACCAAAACCAAAATGAATGGTCCCTAAAATGGAAAATTCCCATACAGATATTCTCTGCATGTGGCTGATTAATTTGATGGCTTTTACAGTACTAACCTTATTTTAAAAGCCATCCAGTTAGAGCCTGATAAGATCAGTACAGTGAGTACAAATTAATTTGAGGATTTACAAGTGTTTACAAAAGTAGTAATCTAATAACTCTACATATAATGAGTCAGCATGATAGTTTTAGTCCTTTCTCAAAGCAGATCTGACCCATTTTGGAGGAATGTGTGAACTCTGACCACATTCACATGGCTTGCCAGACCCCAGCAACTGTCTCAGAGATTGAAAACCAAGTTACACAGTCATGCGTGTCGACTAGGTATTGGCAACAAAATAAACACATACTATAGTTGGGAAACACAGTTTTAGTGTTTACAAAAAATAAAAAAAGTAAGATTTATCATTTGAATAAACTCACTCAATTTTATATTTTAAATGTGTATTTTTTCACAAACTAGAAAAAGATTAGAATAAAAGTAGAATAGCACCATACCTGTTCACTAGTGAAGTTATTCTCTGTACTGAGCAGGTATGGTGTGATAAACGGCTCTCCAGGCTTCAGCTGCACCATGAAGCCATAGAAACAAAGATAAACAACGGACCATATCCAGGTTCTGGTCTTCTGCGTTTGGGTTTCCAGGTCTTCCTTGGTTTCGTGACTGACCAGCTCTGGAGCCACATTTTCCACAGTGTGTCCACTGCCATCAGTCCTCATGTCCTCCTTAACATCCTCAGTCCTTTCATTGCATGTATTCACTTCCACCATGTTACAACAATACTGATGCTATAAAGCTGAATTATTTAATTCTGTATAAAATGCAGAAGGAATGTCAATCCCCAAAATTAATAGATGAAGGCTTAGCAGTTTAACAGAGTTCAAAGACCGGTAACAACCAAGCGACTGCACTAGCCAGTAAATCCTAAGGCATGTGCCGTGTTAACTATTACTGGGAGCTAAGAGGGCACTTCCATAATAACAGCTATGTGTTTAGAAAGCTACAAGCTGACATTTTCTGTGTGCAAGCTTTCAACTTTGTCCAGTTTCCAACACGTCAGTGATTAAAAAGTGTTACTTACTCAACGGCACATTGTGATTTGGTAAAGAAGTACAAAGCAAATCCAATTGTTATATGGCAAGTATGTACTCTAATGAGCATAGTTATACATACAAAGGAGCAAAAAAATATTTTTTTTCACACCTAGTCTCTTATTTTCTTGTTCTTGGGTCTTACACTAAATAAGAAAAAAAAAAACATACCAAACTGAAAGTTCTGCCAGAACAGTTATAACAACGTGTCAAAGGAGTTTCCAAACATTTGCAAGCACTTTGTATCTAATGCATATGAACTTACTGTAAACGTACTGTAACGGACTAAGAGAACTCACATGTATCCACAACTCATATGTCTAACAGTGCAATCCCAGCTCTTACACATATTTACATTTATTAATTTAGCAAACTCATTTATCTAAAGCGACTTACAATTGAGGAACACAACATATCTCATGACTACGTCTGCGTGTTCATGGATAACAGTGTCTCACGATCTCCTGTTGTTGTTTGCACATAACCCCACCAATATTCAAGTATGGGTGAAGTTGTTTCGAATTAAACTTGCCTGTTGCCTTCCTGTGGTCAAATTTAATCCTTTCTTGTTGAGGCTGTCGGTGAGCTAATTATCTATGCTACTTAAAATAATATAGTGCAAGTTATTTAAGCGACAACAAAGCGACAGACTTTAACCCATCTGTATGGAATGACCACACGTACCAGCTATGTAAGTGAAAGCAGTTCAGCCTAAAATCCACGAGACAGACATGCCCGCAGTTGCGCGCGCCCAATTATCCACTGTCTGCGCATGCGCACCGGATGTTTATCTTAAGTTGATGAACGAATCTTTCTTTTGAAAAGAATCTATGTAACGTTTCACAAAACCGGTCTAAATGATTCGTTCAGAAGGAATCAGCCTCAAGTCAACTGACTGTCTGAGCCGACGTGCAGCATCTTTGGGGAGTTTAATGATGAAGTCCACTCTATATAAAATATCTTTACTTTTATAAGTCAAAACAGAGCTGTTCAGTCATAGTGTTCGATTGTACAGGTCAATCAGACGCTCAGCCACACGTTTAACACATGCATTCCAGCGAGTCTATGATAACTACTGGAGAGAGAGAACTATGAAGGTAGAATGACGTCAAAAAGATTTACATACGCAGGGTAATATTTGTGGAAGTGTACATAAAACTGTAAGCGTAAATTAAATTTGCATGCGCAAGAGAAGCTTTGTAAAGGTGTAAATCGCGTTTCAAGCGCAAGAAGAAAATATTTGCAGCATTTTACTTTTTTTCTTGCGCTTGAAACGCGATTTACACCTTTACAAAGCTTCTCTTGCGCATGCAAATTTAATTGACGCTTACAGTCTTATGTACACGTCCACAACTCTTACCCTGCGTATGCAAATCTTTCTGACGTCATTTTACCTTCATAAAGAACCCTTTTCATCAACAGCCCATCGCTCTAGGCTTGCACCTAAAAGATACAAATGATTCAGACTGAACGTGATATGAATATGATTCTGTAGCTTGTGTAATGTGCTATGATGCTTTGCCAAAGGAGGGCGCTCAAAGCATTGTATGTAAGAAGGTCTAGTAGTCCATGCCATAATCAAGCATGATAGTATCTTAAGTTACTAGTTAACAAAAAACATAAATATATTAACACATAAAAAAAACATGTCCTTAATTCAAAGTTTATTTCTGAAAAGTAGAGATGGAATGTGTTATGATGTCTTACCAACAGAGGGCACTCCAGGGTGCGTAATATACATACATACATATGCAAAGTCTTAGGCCATTAGTATTTTCAACAACAAAAATTGGTTTTAAGCTGGTTAATTCTATCTTTTGCTTTAGTGTGCCAGTAGGAAATATCAGTTTACATTTCCAAACATTCCTTTTGCCATTTATTGTAATAATCCAGTGAGATTTTTGTATGCACAAGGAGTCTGACAACAGCAAGTGCTCCACACAGAGATCTGATCTCACCATCATCCAGTCCATCTGGGATTACACGAAGAAACAGAAAAAAACTGAGACAAACTAAATCCAGAAGAACCGCGGCAACATAAGACACTTGAAGAAATCTTCCTATAGCTATTCAGCTACCTGAAAAACTATGCGCTAGTGTACCTAGGACAATAGCTGTTTTAAACGCAAAGGGTGGTCACACCAAATATTGATTTGATTTAGATAATAGAAGTTAATTAATAAATAACGTTTATTTATGACATTATTTTTGAAAGCATCCTCACTTTACAGCATTTTTACACAAGTGCCTGTAGGTTTGGAGGTAGGTTTCTTCAGGTGTCTTGGAGATGTTGTGGCGGTTCTTCTGGATTTAGTCTGCCTCAGTTTTTTTTCTGTTTCTTCAAGTAATTCCAGATGGATTGGATGATGGTGAGATCAGATCTCTGTGTGGAGCACTGGCTGTTGTCAGACTCCTTGTGCATACAAAAAAAATTACTGGATTATTACAATTAATGGCAAAAGGTATCTTCTTAAACATGGTCATCATTTTCATGGGGTGTCGCACTTTTCATTGTAGCAATGTTGTGAAGCACCATGCATACTGTGGAACCTAGTTCTGTGGGCCAGGTTACAGAGTTTAGTAAGGGAGTGAGATGTTGATGCAGTAACACATCTTCATTCAGTTGACACGTCATTTCCCTGTACATTTTACACTCCTGCTTTGTACTTGCATCAACACCAAACCTTCACTGTTCTTAAGTCTGATTAACTATTTTCGAAAGCCAGTGGCTGACATGAATTCAAAACTCAAATATAAATCACTTCAAGAGAATTATTTATCTCATTATCATCAGCAACATGTCATGTGTTTTCTACTATGCAAGTGCATTATGGTCCAGGTCAGGAGTGCAAAAGCTTTATGTGAGAGACAGACTCAAGCTGTTGAGTTTTGTTCCTCTGAGAATAAAGGAACTGCAGCCTCTAGCTGTTGAGATGGACAAATGATTATTAATGTTTGTGCAATGCTGCATAAAGTCTTCTACTGCACATATTTTGGAGTTGAAAAGTGTAAAAACTATTCATCATGATCATCTTTAGAAAAAAATACAATTTATTCTGTAAAGTCTGACATATAATACGTCATAAAAATCTAATTTGCCTTAGTTCAGTAATTATTCATCTTGAAATATTACTATTTAAAAGTTATTCTTATGTTTACTTTTTTAAAATCAGTGAAGATTTCACTGCAAAAAGGCATTTTAGAATTATACTAGAAGGCTTTTTACTTGCTAAAAATGATAAACTATCAATCAGATGATAGAAGGCATGTAGACCGTTTTGATCATGTTCATAATTTAGAGGCATTAAAAATATGTGTATAAAATATGATACTGTAGGCTTTATATGGTTAAAATAAATCAATACAATTTCATTTGATTAATTTAAGCATGAACCCTGGTCTCAAACCTGAGAACCTGAGAATTTCCACTTTTCCTCACTTTCACAGGCATCAAGCTCACTGTCCTCACTATCTGTTCTTTTAAAACAATGGTGTAAGAAAAAATGAGGAGGACGTTGAAGATCTCGATAAAGATGTTTATTGCAGCATAGCAGTGACAAAGTACATGTAGAACCTTGGGCTCAACAGAGTCGGAATGAACCCCGAACATCCTAAACTCAAACCTTTTATACAGTTAGAGTTTACTACCCTTAATGTAAATGAAGTTGCTCCTGTCGTCACAGCTGTGATCTGTATGTTAATGAAGTTCTGACACCTAATTATCTGAGAGGGTTCTTGGTGTCCCACACCCACTCCCATTCTACAATTGGTCACCATTTGCTCAAGATGTAATCATCCCAAATGATCTGCAAACAACATAACTGTTGACTTTCTTCTTCTCTATAATAATTAAGCCATTTTGGGAAATAAGAATGATCAAACATCTATTGTGGAGTGGAATCTGGGTCGGGGCAGACTATAGTTTCTTACAATGGTTATGAATTGTCATGACTGTATCACTACATGTCTGCAAACGTCAATACTCATCAGGTTGAGGTATGTTTTCATTAGTTAAATAAATCTGTCTGTTAATTACAATATACCGGTAGTCAATAGACTATTTTGTGACACCACTTTAGAGAGTGGCCTGTACTGTGTATTGAGTTTGCCTATAGGATGCTTCTCTGTCCTTCACGCCTCTCTGGGCCCATCAGATCACTAAAATAATGTGTACCAGGGACTGTCGATGACTGAATAGAGGCTGTTCTCCTTGCTGGAGGCAATAGGGTGGGTATTGTAATAAAGAGCTACCATGCTGACCATACATTCATCAAATTTAGTCTCTCCATACTGGTCCTGATAAGTATCAAACCTTATATTGTTGTATGAATGACTTTAAATAATACCCTAAAAGTGCCATATCATACATTTTTTAATCATTTCCCCCCCTGAGGTTACCTCATAATGCAAACATTTTTTTTTTCTCCAAAATAATTTTTCACCATTTCTCTGATTTTAATTTTAAAAAATCAAACTTTCACCTTAATAAAAAATAAATAACTAGAAATATCATGTCTGAGCAGGCAGGAAGAGTTTTAACACCATTTCCTCATTTACAGTTCTTCTAATGGACCCACAAAAATGTATCATGTATAAAAGCTGACAACAGACACAATTTTGAGCATGTTGACTAACATGCACACACACAATCTACTATGTTGTTTTTCATTGTTAGCCCATGTTTACATATTTGTTCAATCATTTTTTCCAACTCATTTGCTTTAGAATAAATATTTGTATTATTAAATGCTTCAAATTAGATTTTCTGGGCAGGGGTTTGGTGTTTAAAAATAAATGTGTATACAAAATATAAACCGTTGTCTATGTTTTCTGTTAGTATTACAACCCATCCTGCTGTTACAACTTACCCCAGCACTATGATAGATTGTAACAGCAGCACCGTTTGTACTTGACATTAAAGCTAGGGTAGGCAATATATCTGTGCTAAATACACAACAACAGCCTCATCTTGTTGATCCTCTGGAGGGATCTGGAAAGAGGAGTAGGTGTAGTGGAAGACAGTGCTGCGTTCTCATAGAGCCTGTGGTGACCTGCAGTATTCCTCTCTCAGAGACTCCATGAGGCCTGATGCATATGCTGGGAGAAGCAAGCAAAAGTTTAGATCACATTCACTGCTGACCATGTTTTTCCACTTGGCTTCCATCACATCTGCATCTCCATTAGGAGCGGAAGCTGCAGTCCAGTAGAGGTGGTTAATAACAGTTGGCCTTCACTGCTTAATTTTTAATTCAACCCAAAAGGTGACAACGTATTAAGACGCCATCCTTCTGCAGAACAAGGACATAGTGGTGAAGAGGAGCAACTTACCCCAGCACTATGATATATTGTAACAGCAGCACCGTTTGTACTTGACATTAAAGCTAGGGTAGGCAATATATATATATATATATATATATATATATATACACACACACACCATAAAATGTTCATCCAATCATTTCAATCAGCCCGAATGCAATAATAAGATGTGCTACCCGCCTGTCAACCTATGTATTTGCATACCTCTGCACAGCCAATAGAGAGAGTTTGGGGCGTGGCAGCAGGCTGAGCCAGAGGGTGTTTAGCTCATATGTATCTTAGCCGTGTGAAAAAAGAAATTCAGATTCCGCTACAGAAGTGCAAGCCAAAATTCGAAAACTTGCCAAAATATACAGAGACAGAAAAGGATAAACACTGGCAGTGTATTTACAAGATGGAGAAATTTGATGGAATGTTTGGGTTTCAATCGATATGACGAGTTTTGGTCCTCTATGAGTGTTGTAGATGTACACCAAACATACAGTGGGTACGGAAAGTATTCAGACCCCCTTCAATTTTTCACTCTTTGTTATATTGCAGCCATTTGCTAAAATCATTTAAGT